GTGGGGGAGGCAGTGGGAACGGGAGCTACGGAGTCAGTGGGGGAGGCAGTGGAAACGGGAGCTGCGGAGTCAGTGGGGGAGGCAGTGGGAACGGGAGCTATGGAGTCAGTGGGGGAGGCAGTGGAAACGGGAGCTGCGGAGTCAGTGGGGGAGGCAGTGGGAACGGGAGCTATGGAGTCAGTGGGGGAGGCAGTGGAAACGGGAGCTGCGGAGTCAGTGGGGGAGGCAGTGGGAACGGGAGCTATGGAGTCAGTGGGGGAGGCAGTGGAAACGGGAGCTGCGGAGTCAGTGGGGGAGGCAGTGGAAACGGGAGCTGCGGAGTCAGTGGGGGAGGCAGTGGGAACGGGAGCTATGGAGTCAGTGGGGGAGGCAGAGGAAACGTAAAAGGATAAAGAAACGATAAGTTCACTATAGAAGGAGTTTATAAGAACGAGTGTTGGAGAAACACGTTGAAAAGATTAGGTGAAATACACAATTGGAGAGAAAGTGAGAAATAAACAAAATACCGGGTAACGTTGGCACGATAGAATAAAGTTGACCAAAGAAAGAATGATTGGCAAATTAACACAAGATTGTTTGCTATTCCGTGCAAAATCTCTATCAATTCAGTACAAGTTCGGTCAGAATTCCCTAAAATTTCAAATTTGAGATCTAATTACACGAAGAGATCGTCGTATAAAGTTCCTTACTGAGGTGGACATATATAGTGCCTCACCAAATATATGCTTCTTTATAGTGCCACATATAGTGGCACTATATAGTGCCCTTATATTCTATATAGTGCCACATATAGGTGGCACTATATAGTGCCACCTATATTCTATATAGTGCCACATATACTGGCACCATATAGTGCCACCTATATTCTATATAGTGCCACCATACTCTATACAGTGCCTCACCAAATAGTATACTTCTATATAGTGCCACATATATCCTATATAATACCACATATACCATATATAGTGCCTCACCAAATAGTATACTTCTGCTCCCAGTCTCGGCCGCCGGGATATCCTGGCAACCACGACAGTTCGACGCTGAAGGAGGAGGTCTTGGTGGTGATGTTGTAGGGCGGGTGAGGGGTGGTGTTCTCCACAAGAACCTGGGTGCTGGCCACTATCACGAGGATCTCGTTCTTGACCTCGCACTCGTAGAAGGCGTGGTCACTCTTCAGCAGCGACTTGATGGTCAGGTTGCCGCCGTGTATCTCGGTCCGGTCACGGGGCAGGTTCAGACCATCGCGCTGCCATTAAAAATAATTACGTTAGATTAGCATTAAATATTTATAGGACAAGAAATTATTTGTTATAAATAATAGGCATAGATGGTGAGGTTGCCGCCGTGTATCTCGGTCCGGTCACGTGGCAGGTTCAGACCATCGCGCTGCCATTAGAAGTAAATGCGTTATAGATTACCATTAAAATGTTTATATAATAATAAATTATTTATTTTAAACTAATTTTGCAGATCGATTGGAAACTTCATTGCGAAGAATGCCCAAGCTGTAGAGTTACCATAAGATTACCCTAAGATTATTACCCTAAATTTATTGTAAATGATAAATAAAACGATATTAGACTAATATAAACTGATAATTAACTATTCTAAATCGATAATTAACTATTCTAAATCAATAATTAACTATTATTAACGATAATTGATTATTATAAAGCAATAAGTAACTATTATCAACCGATTATTAACTATTAAGTGGATCGATTCAAAACTCCACCGCAGAGGCGGCCAAAAACATTGCGCTGCCATCAGCATCTAGCCGCATTTCTAGATGAATAAATCATTTTAGTTAAATTCACACTGTGTCTCGAGATCCTACATGATAAATAATTACTTCACAATGCATGACTTACGAACCGCGGAGGGAAAACTCCAGCCATTCATGCCCGAAGAGAAACATGTCAGTCAGAAACATTTCAGCAACATGAACTGGTATATCGGGAAAATTTTACATTCACAAGCCAAAAAAGTGGCCAACTTGCAACAAAGTCATTAAAAATGCCCAACATTGAACGCTTATATCTCTCAAGTCTCAACAGTCCGGTTGCTCTAGTTTGAACAATAATACGATATTTTATTTCTTGCGATAGAAAACAACGATGTCATGCGTTTAGTAAATGAGTAAAGAATGGAAAAACGACACTCAGGGATGACCGTCGCTGGCACAAGACAAGAATACATTAAGGCGTTGCGTAAGGATCATGGCAGGATTTTATCCTGATAAAACGATCCTGTTTTTACAACACTTCTCTTTAACTTCACTTCTTGTTGTTTGTCTGTCTGCTACAAATCTAATAATCAATTTTCAACACACTTCTACCAGTCCAATCGATCTGACATTTCGCACACTTGCGTAAAGTAGGAGAAAATGCTTGAATCATTTGACAGAATTAGTAATTAAAAAAATTTAAACAATTTTTTTGCATTGAAAATTGAATTTTTTTAAATTTTTAAAAAATATAAGAAATTCATTGTACATATGCAACATTGGAGACACAGGCCTCTTTAGAAATGTTGTCTTTAAAAAGTAATTTTTAAACGCATATTTATTATGCCCTGCGCCAGGTGTCATTATTACTATTATATATTATTATATTATACCCTGCGCCAGGTGACATTACTACTTACTAGTTTATATATCATATTATTATATATTATTATAGTATACCCTGCGCCAGATGACATTATTACTTATTATACTGTATATTATAATATATTATTATACGTTATTATATTATACCCTGCGCCAGGTGACAGAGGGGGTGGGGGAGCCTGAGCCCCCACAGACAAGGGTGACCTCCTCGCCCAGTTGCCCGTGGTATTGGGGCTGCGGTCGGGGGGCGAACTCTGGGGGCTCGCGTACCAACACCTGACAAAATTGCAAACTTATAATATTTTTCATAATAAAGTTTCTCGCTATGTATAATATATTTTAGTGAACAGCACATATTTCTTCGTTAGGTTATTTCAATCACAAAAAAAACCTGGGCAAGAACAGCTTAATACAATTTTCAATGGGCAATAAGAGCTTAAAATTTTTTTTTCAAAAAAATCTCGCTAAATAATTTGAGAAATAGTAGCTGATTTTTGACACAGGAAATCGTTTTGTTCTTCTTCATTTCGTTTTATTTTTAAACAAGAAAACTTGATTAAGAGGAAGCAACCAACCTCCATGTCGCCCGATGACCCCGCCGTGGTGTGCTTGTTGTACGGCGTGCAGCTGTAGCGGCCCTGGTAACTCTGGTTCACCTGTACATAGAAAGAATATGGTTCACTTGTACATTTGGTTCACTTGTACATTTGGTTCACTTGTACATTTGGTTCATCTGTACGTTTGGTTCACCTGAACATTTGGTTCACATGTACATTGAAATAATATGGTTCACCAGTACATTTGGTTCACCTGTACATTTGGTTCACCTGTACATTTGGTTCACCTGTACGTTTGCTTCACCTCCACATTTGCTTCACCTGTACAATGAAATAATTTGGCGGACCTGTACATTTGGTTCAGCTGGTTCTCTCGTACAATGCGATAATTTGGTTCACCTGTACATTAGGTTCAGCTGGTTCACAATTACAATACAATAGTTTGGCATTGCATTGATAAGTTTAGGCAGTCAGCATGTGAGTGACGTTCGCCGAATATCTCAACACTTCAGGTTTCCTGTGACGAGCCGTAAACCGACGGCGAATATACCCAGGAAATAAACTGCTAGCGAAGATCCAAGGTATAACCGATGGCGAATAACCTATGTAATAAACTTATAAAGAAATCCTGAGTAATAAAATAAGCATGCATTACCACCAATATTACGAAACGAAACCAATTTTTGTTCAATTAAATGATCACAAGTCTATGTCGAGGAATGCTGTACTCTGAAAAACGTAATTGAACGAAAACGGTGCATGGAAGAAACCAGGATTGTATAGCAGCAACACTTATTGATTGAATGACTGCATCATCTTTGGAAGTATTTCTAGATTTTGTGAATTGGAAGAAGTGTGCATTCATTGTACTTTCACTGCTGCCGTGTTCTATAAACAACGATTTAGAATAAGAAATTAAAAACAGAGTAGGGACGAAGTAGGAAGTTTCGGTAGAACGAATTGGTTGATTCGAGAGAACTATTCCTGTACTCGAAACAATTAAAGTCTTCTGTTGATAATATAGAACAGCAGAGTCCAAATTAACTTTTATAATTAACTTCATATTATAATTAAATTCAAACAGGAAGAAATTTATGGCAGTGCTCTAGCAATTTTTTGTAAGAATACCGATTATTTATTATCGTTCTAGTAACAGCAAGAAAAAAATATGCACACGAAATTTCCTCTCAGCTACTAAGGTTTCAAAGGAACGAAGATGCGCACGGAGAACATGAGCAGCATTGATCTCCTCGGAACAATAAGAAAGATGTCTTGAATAATTGGACGTGAGGTGGTCCCTAAAAATGATATTCAGCAGTCAGGACAGGCCGTCGGGGTGCGGCGCTCGTCGTATATCATGTCGAATGCTCGGCAGCGTAGACGTGAAATGGAGAGATCGATGGGCATACGGGGTCAGCCTATCAGGCGAGGGTTGCTGTGTGATGATGACTTGCAAAATGTTCATACATGGGTTTCAGATATATTGTTTACTTGCTACAGAAATGATGGAAAATTTCTGAAAAATGAAGCTAGGAATCAGAAAAATAGAGCTAAAAATCTATAGAAATAAAGCTAAAAGCTGGATAAATGAAGTTAAAAACTGTATAAATCATTATAAAAGCTGATTAAACGATGCGAAAATGCATAGATGAAACTAAAAGCTCTATGAAAAATCTACGAACATTAAGAAGTGTAAACGAAATAAAAATTTTGTATAAATGAAGCAAACGCGTTGCACCTACGAATCTAAAAAGTGTAGAATCGAAGCTACCGGCCAACAACAAAAAAGAAACTAAATGCTGCAGCAATGAAGTTCTTAGCTGTGAAGCCTCAACACGGAACAGCATTAAAGCATAACTTCAGAGATTATAGAGACAATTTCAAATTAGAGACACAACCATTCAAATCTTCACTCACAATCAAAGACCGCGAAAGCAGCGTACTAATGACAAATTTACCCAGCTAATTACCATTTAACTAACATTAAAAGAGTAATTCCAATGACACAAAACAAATCATACCTTCGTGAAGAGCAGAGAGCCATTCTTAAGCTTACGACAAATTTCCTCGGCTAATTACCATTTAACTAACATTAAGGGAGTAATTACAATGACACAAAACAAATCATACCTTCGTGAACAGCAGAGAGCCATTCTTAAGCTTGACGACACCCTCTTCATTGTCAGGCTCGAAAAGTCTCTTGTCTTTGATCCACGTAACGAACTGCACCTCAGGGTTAGCTTTGATGTGGCATTTGACGATGCCTTGCTGCCGGAAGGGCAAGTACTGAACCGTGGGCGTGTAGGTCACGCGTGCTGGATCTGCAAGCAATACCGACATTTATTAAGACATTTTCAAAACATAATTATTGTTAGGAACGCAATATTTGCTTTAGATTCGATTTAGTTTCGCGAGGTCTTGCCAGACCTTTGTTTAATTCTAAATCTGTTAGCCGTAAAGTCGACAACTAAGCTAAAAAAATTGTGGTGAGCTTCTCAGTTATCGTATTCGGAGATTTGACTATCTATAAATGTCAGTGAAATGGAGGATTCAGTGAAACTGAGGGTTCAGGGAAACTAAAGAATCAGTGAAACTAAGAGCTCAGTGAAATTGAGGGCTCAGTGAAACTTTGGGCTCAATGAAAATGAGGGGTCAGAGAAATCGAGGGGTCAGTGAAATTTAAGGCTCAATAAAATTTAGGTCTCAGTGAAACTAATGAGTCCAACCACGACAGTTGGTTAATGGGAACGTCCTCAGAGACAGATTATCAGCCTTGACGAAATAGCAGCGTTAACAAAATATAATCGTTAACAGACTATCATCGTTAACAGAACATCATCTTTAACAGAACATCATCTTTAACAGAACATCATCGTTAACAGAATATCATCTTCAACAGACTATCATCTTTAACAGAACATCACCGCAGTTAATCATTCATCACTCACACTCAACATTGAGGTAGGCGACCGCGCGCTGCGGAGTGCCGATGCCATTGGAGACCTCGCACGTGAAGAATCCTCCATCGTCAGCGCTCGTCGGGTTAATGACGAGCGTTCCGTCGTGGCGCAAGATAGAGCGAGTGTCCAACCACGACAGTCGGTTAATAGGAACGTCCTCACGCTTCCAAGAGACTGTCACATTGCCAGGAGGGTTAGCTTTGATGTGGCATTTGACGATGCCTTGCTGCCGGAAGGGCAAGTACTGAACCGTGGGCGTGTAGGTCACGCGTGCTGGATCTGCAAGAAATACCGATATTTTTTAGGACAAAATTCAAAACATAATTTTCATAAGGCCAATAATTATTATTGGCCTTTCTCGTGATATTGTGTATTGTTATTTATATTGTTTATTATTTATGTGTGCTATATTAATTCGTTAGGTTGCGTTAATTCGAGTCCTTAATTGTATTTATTTGTGTTTTTTCAGCGGGGCTCCGAACTTAGGACATGATCAGGAATTAATAGGCAAGGGCCAGAAAGACACACGGTTTATAGTTTGGATATTTGTTTTCTTGTATTTATCGTTCTTTTGTTATTATAGTTCTTAACTTATCAGTTTTTATTCATCCTTTTTATTTGCGATCATTGGTCAAGTGTTCGGGGTCAAAGAATGCTTATTTATTGATTAGTCCCCAACAACAGAACATCATCGTTAACAGACTATCATCGTTAACAGTACATCATCGTTAACAGAATATCACCAGAGTTAATCATTCATCACTTACACTCAACGTTGAGGTAGGCGACCGCGCGCTGCGGTGTGCCGATGCCATTGGAGACCTCGCACGTGAAGAAGCCTCCATCGTCGGCGCTCGTCGGGTTAATGACGAGTGTTCCGTCGTGGCGCAAGATAGAGCGAGTGTCCAACCACGACAGTCGGTTAATAGGAACGTCCTCACGCTTCCAAGAGACTGTCACATTGCCAGGCAAGGCTTTTGCTTCGCAAGGGAATTCGGCTTTTTCTCCCTCCTGCCGCGTCATGTTGTGCGGAGGCGTTATAATCACAGCGCCTCCTGTAGCAAACAAGACTAATATGAGACCTTCCTTATGGCTGGCGTCTTCCTGGAGCTCGTTAAGAAATGTCATGTACATCACATCAAATGTTCAGTCTTGACGCATGGAATAACATTGGAATTATTTCGACGATTTTAGGTTTTTGCTTCTTGTCGTTTCAAATTAGGAGCAAATAAGCAATATCCAGGGAGTTAAATAGATTTGGATTATGAAGTCTATAAACATTTAAGGGATAAAATGATGGGTTTAGCAATCACACGAGTTGCAGCTTAATTGAAACGTATCGCGATGTGAAAAATATTGATAACATTAAATATGCACGGAAACAGGATGATGACTTGCATTTTGTAGCCAACCCTTAAAAAGCAATTACATCGATCATTAATGTTTCATTAAAAAAAATGCATGAACGTTAACAGTACACTAACGAAACAGCTGTAAAATCAATTTTATACAATTAAAATTTTGAACGATACTCATCTATGAAATCGAAAATTCGTTTTTTCAACAAAACTTTAAACATCGCTTGTAAGTTGGCAGATGAACCCAACTACTCTAGACTGCAGAAAGGCTCGGGCTTAGCCAGTCTCACTAATGATGTTTGGCTTCACGACTAACTACGCAGCAGTACTCAAAACAGAGCGATTTTGCGCGGTTGCCACAGAAAAATGTCGGCATCGCTTATCTATGGCAGCAGCTCGAATTTTACGTCTGTCTATATTTGAACAAAGTTTAGAGCACAGAGGTTTCTAAACCTTGGCAGTTAATAGACAATGGAATGTCCGGCTAATGAGATGTCAGCAAATGAAAGGCAGTTTTCATTCAAAGAGATTTCTCATTCTTTTTCTAGGAAATTCCAGAGTAAAACTTTAGCATAGTGTGGGCTTGCGTTCAACTGAGACACTCGTCATGGAAATACACGTTGAAGAAAAAATTTATTTTCGAGGTTTGCAGTAAATCATCATAAATTGAAAACAATTAAATACGTTACAGAAAACATCAAGAAAAATCCAAATCCATATAACTCAAGCCCATAGGCTGAATTTTGTTATGTTCATCCAGCATTTTAACAAATCCAGCCAACCACGCACTCGAAATCTCAACGCCGTTTGAGTCAAATTTAATTCCTGGGCCGATACTTTCAAAAAAAGTTAAGAGATCGTAAGTTCATCAGCCAATCATTGATGGCCTTTCAAGCAAAATCCACCAATCATAAACAAGAAAATAGAGCGTATATATAAGAACTTACGTTCACTTAGCGAATTTTGAAAGTATGGCCCCAGAACATCAGGCGAAATTCGTATGCGTGAAAATAAGCACCTCGAGTTGGAACGCTAAATTACGCTTTCTTACCAGCAATGACGACCTTGGCTTCGTGGTGAACGCGGCCTTCAGCGTTCCTTGCAACGCAGAGGTAGTCGCCGATATCCTGGTCGCGAATCTTGTTTATCCTGAGCTCAGTGCCATCGTTGAAGATACCGACGCTCTCGCTGGGAGTGACAGGATCGTCATCTCGAAACCAAAATATCTCAGGCTTCGGAGTGCCTTCAGCTTCGCAGTTTAGGATGATGGAGTCGCCAATGTTGACGTAGGTCACGTCATCAGGGGTGGTCGTGAAGCGAGGGGGCGCTGAGGGATGCGAGGGATGACAACTTTATCATGAGGAACTATAAGAAGTCCCAAGCACGGGTGAACAAGATCCAAATAGGTTCCAAAACAAGGAACCGAAAGATAGAACAGAATATGAAAAGCGGCTCGACATTTGATGATAAAATAATGGCACATTATTAATACGTTTAAACATGGATCTTTATAAAACACATACAAGTATAAAAATGTTGAAATTAAAAAGGACTTTGTGGTTACTCTCATATACTGAAACAAACACACATTAAATAGCTCACGCTAAAAGAAACTAACCGACAGTATCATTGTTTTTCTAATTGAATTGTTATAATTGTTTTTCTAATTCATCCCATATTTTCCTAATTAATTCCACTTTCTTACCAGGAAAGAAACTTAACAATTGACATAAGCATCGAAACTTACCGTGCACATCCAAGTGTATCCAAGTTCCATTATCGGTGGCGCCGGTGCGGTCGAGGTAGAAGACCTTACACTCGTACCAGCCTTGGTCGTCCTCCTTGACAGCCGTGAGGTTGAGGGAGGCCAGGCCTAGGGTGGTGTCTTGGTTGACTCGAGACGCACGCCCTTTGTAAGCTTCCTCAACGTGAGGGTCGTAGCCGTCGTACCAGATGTAGATGGGGATCTTGTGGTGCTGTTAATACGAAAACATTTGCATTTGCTTGTCGTGCCCGTGGAATTAATAAGGATAAGTTAGCAGATTGCGTAAAATGTAGTCGGTACAGGCGGCATATAAGCGGACGCAAATAACGAATTGCGACTCGATGTTTTGGAAATCAATGTGAAAGTGGGATTAAAACCACTATTAAAATGATGGAAATGAACAATCGTGAGTAACGATATATCAATTTCTAATTAAAATAATTTATTACTTCATATTATAATGCTAATTGCAACCACACCCCTCAAAAAAAAAAAAAACTGTACGACCATGCTGCATGTGAAGTAAAATCTCAGAGGAAAGTATGGTCCGAACCTGTCTTTTCCACTGGATGATGTACGGCGTGTCTGGCTGTGACACTGGACAGTTCAGCACCACCGCGTCACCGAGGATGGCTGTGATGTGTTCAGCGTCGCCATACTGGGAGCACCACGCACCTGCGGCACAAACAACAGTGAAATAAACCTGGGAGCACCACTCACCTGCGGCACAAACAACAGTGAAATAAACCTGGGAGCACCACGCACCTGCGGCACAAACAACAGTGAAATAAACCTGGGAGCACCACGCACCTAAATAATAAGTTCAACCCTTATAAAAGCAGCGTTACCGAATTCCATACGCAATAGTAATAGCAGCATTACCACATCCCACACGCTATGGTTGCAGCAGCCGTACCACATCCCACACGCTATGGTTGCAGCAGCATTACCACATACCACACGCTATATTTACAGCAGCATTGCCACATCCCACACGCTATATTTACAGCAGCATTGCCACATCCCACACGCTATATTTACAGCAGCATTACCACATCCCGCACGCTATGGTTGCAGCAGCATTACCACATCCCACACGCTATGGTTGCAGCAGCAATACCACATCCCACACGCTATGGATGCAGCAGCATTACCACATCCCACACGCTATGGGTGCAGCAGCATTACCACATCCCACACGCTATGGTTACAGCAGCATTACCACATCCACACGCTATATTTACAGCAGCATTACCACATCCCGCACGCATTACAGCAGCATTACCACATCCCACACGCTATATTTACAGCAGCATTACCACATCCCGCACGCTATGGCTGCAGAAGTGTAGCAGCACTGCGCCTAAAGCTGCCGTGTGTACACAAGCGTGGCCGCCACACGCTCGCCATGTGAGGCCTGCTATGGAGACCCCCAAGCCCGCATGAGAATGGGCCGCCCCATCACTAGTACCTACCTTAGTTAAATGCGACACGCTCGGCTGGCCCGCTATAATTTTACCCGTATTTGGAATTAAATTCAAGCTTTTTCATTGTAAGCGACGCTGGAAAGTTGTTCGGTAAAGAGGGTAAAAAACGTCGCTGATCGTAACATTTTTTCAAGCAGGGGCTCAATTTCGTCTCTCACGCGTAAATATTGAGATATCACAACAATTCTTTGGCTATCAAATTCGCGCTGAAAATATATCACTATATTTTTCATTTATTTATACTTATTTTCTTCAAATTACAGTATAGAAAAAATATCAGTATTAGGGGAACGTCAATTACAGCGGTTCACTGAGAAAGAACTGAACTTTGTCAGTCCTATAAAAGCAACTATCAAATTTTATCGGGTGCAATAATTTAAACGTGAAACAAAGTTCGAAAAGTGAATAGTTTCGCCTCGACTAGAAGTCCATGCGATCGTTCGACGAGAAAGACTGATCGTAGTTTTACCGATGATTCGTTTTGGTGCGGCGACGTACGCGGGATTTGGCGGGACTATAAAGGCAGCACCTCGAGCGCTCCCCTAACATATGGGACAACTCGATGCCGATGGTGCACCCAATAAATAACATTCCAAAGTTGCAACATGCGCTGCAGACTTGCAATATGTGCCACAAGTCCCGACGCCCGCTGAACTACGCCTAATTCTGGCAGTCTAATCTCCGAGGAAAAGAATCGAGCTCAAGTCTCGATGTCGGGAATGATAACATATTTTCGTCTAAGACACGGCAAAATAAATTGTCATTAGGATTAATTAATAAACGATTATCAGTAGGTACTTTCCATGAAGCTGGTGTATATTTAGAAATTTCAATGCAAAAAATTTGATTCATGTTCTTGTGTATCTGTTTTTTTATGAAAAAGATACTTAACACTGGGCACAAAAAAATGAAGTAAGTATATAAATAAAATATACTTTGATATAGAGTAAAAAGGCTTGGGTGCTTTGCAATTAATCCTGGCAAGAACCATCAAAGGGGAAGGACGGGCTGCATCAGATCTTACCTTTTCAAGTTTAAAATTTGAAACGGCATCTCAGAGAGGATTAGATATCCAAGAGAATAATTTCAGTAATGGAACGAAGACTGCAAGGGGAGGCGCAAAGGAGGGGAAGTCCGGCAGAGAGCATAGGTGGGCAATGGATACGGCAGTACGACAAGGCCGAGTGCTGCGGGCTTTACAGGCCGGACGTAGGATACGGCACTACGACAAGGCCGAGTGCTGCGGGCTTTACAGGCCGGACGTGGGATACGGCACTACGAGAAGGCCGAGTGCTGCGGGCTTTACAGGCCGGACGTGGGATACGGCACTACGAGAAGGCCGAGTGCTGCGGGCTTCACAGACCGGACGTAGGATACGGCACTACGAGAAGGCCGAGTGCTGCCGGCTTTACAGACCGGACGTAGGATACGGCACTACGAGAAGGCCGAGTGCTGCGGGCTTTACAGGCCGGACGTGGAATACGGCACTACGAGAAGGCCGAGTGCTGCGGGCTTTACAGGCCGGACGTGAGATACGGCAGTACGAGGAGGCAGCGCCCTGCTGCTTGCTATGCAGGCCGGACGTCTCATCTGCCAGGCGTAAAGGCTCTATTGGCAGGCTCGTCTTGGCCAAATCTGAACACAACGAGACCAAAAAAGCGACAATGCCCCAGCAGAAACACCTGACGCTTCCGGCTCACTACCTAGGAAGAAATTACTTGGTCTGGAATCGAAATAATAACTTTATCAGCTTCACGGACAACAATATTTCGCACTGGTTGGAAATTTGAACATTGAATCTCACATTAAACTTTAAAGATGAAATATATGACGATCTCAAATCATTAAAAAAGAGTGGAAATTCATAAGCAGAATGAATAATACGTACATGAGTAAAACGATATATAAATAATACGAAAACCCTAGACCAGACAGAAGCTTGGTGAAAGAGTTCACTCGAACATTTCTTTTGATGTTAAAATTATTTGAAAACATTTCAATTCATACTGATTAGCGAAGCTTTTATTTTAGGCTTAACTTGAAACTATCATACAGGACACGATATCAGAAATAAGAGTAACTGCTTCAATCAACTGTACAAATAGGCTCAACAAGCGAGACAATCACGAAATGCAGAATTCAAGCCAGCCTTGTCAGATTTCGGCGGACATTTCAATAAAATCTTCGAGTAAAGTTATTTTCTACGAGACCACAAGTTTAATTCTGATCACAAATCCTTAGAAAATGCCTCCAAATTCGGTCTCTGACAATTGCCAAAAGTTTAATGAGATAATTAGAATGCGAATTTATAATGTTAATTTTTATATTTAGACGAGGGAAAAAAAGTAGCGGCGCAATGGCCTGCAAATAAAAGGGATTTTTTGCGATAATTGGCGTCGAGGAACCTGCGCAGTCAAGATAAAAGTAGTTAAGGTCCATGAAAAAAAACTAATATATACAAAATTTTTGAATGTTATAGTCACAAAATATGCTACATATCTCGGCAGTAAATTTCCGCGGCCAAATGATAAAAAATCGGAATATGCCTACAACGCTGCAGAGGTGCGGATAAGTTTTATTTGCACCTGAAAAAATTTCACAATTTATGCAGGAAAATGTTGCAGGTTTGGATCACAAATTAAATACGCAAACTTACGCCGAAAAAATTACCTGCTTTCTTAACTGCACAATGCACATGTCCCACAAGAAGCAAACATTTTAAAGCTTGTTCACAAAGATAATTTATTGTTTGCTGTTGGCCCAAATTTGTAATTCAAAATCTTCAGCTAAATTGGGACATGATTCGAAGCAGGTATAGGATTTTGATGATTAACAAGCAAAGCAAGAAACATGTTTTCCTCTTCCGAACGAAGCAGCCTCGAGCCGTCATGAATACCAACGAAGAAGCGATTCCAGGAACTCTCTGACGCGAGTTCTCCGGTCTACATACAAATCAGACGCGCTTTCTTCAGATGATAACGTAAATCTACTCCATATAATAGTCACGCTCATGATTTTTTAGACGTAAAACGTGCAAATCTCACTTAAATAATACCATAAAAATGTCAGCCTGCAACTGAAGGTCAAAATTTATGTTTATTTTAAATAAAAGTTGAATTTATATGATATATGTGGAGAATAATTCTTTATTACCGAAATCCGTTCTATCTGAACTTAGAGTCAGGGGGTCGAAGACAATAACTAAATTTCTTTAATTGGAATTTCCTTGTTTATAAAGATAGAGAAAACAAATTTGAATCTTTATAACATTACAGAACAGAAAACATTAGAACAAATTTGATTTTCTTCCTGAGGCCCACGCATTTTGCGGCGTGTAAATCAATCGACAACTTATTATGAGCTCAAATAAATCCCTGAATAGTTTTTATGTCATAATACTTTGATGAGGCGCTCATTTCATTTCGTCTATTTGGAAATGATTTTCATTGTTAATTTAAAATGTAGATATTTCCCCGTAGAGCGAGCAGAGTGGAGAAATTACTCCACGGGCTCTACAACGAACATTTAAGTATATGTAAACAGAACCAACAAAATATATTATTGTATTCTCTGATTTCTCTCTAATTTCAACAAGAAAAAATAGCCAAACCATGATATATGAAATAACTCACTTATGGATAAAGAACAACGGGCATCCGCAATCAGCATGTAAGCAAATATATTGGAAGCTCTGCATAAAAGAGGTACGCAACCTGATGCTGCGTCTCGCATGCACCATTAGCCAGAGACAGGCCGCAAGCAACAATAGAGCGATATGAGTAGCGTGATATTGAGGCCGGTGAGCACGTCAAAGGCGAGCATGTGATCATGTTACTTGCATGGCGAGCATGTGATCATGTTTCTTGCATGGCGCTGGGGCAAAACAGATGATGCTGATCACGCAGTCATGACTGGCATGGCTCACTGCAGATGCTTCGCTGCCACAAGATGAAGAGAGCGCTTCTTCTGTCCATTGCAGGCTGTATCACGAGATCTCACGAGATTGTTTCTTAGATGAAGTGATAAAAAAATACACAGCACTGGTCGTGCAGGCGCACTCATCCTGACCATTTAAGAGATTGTGTTATGAATAGATTGTGGAGAATATTTTTTCCAAAAGCCCGTGCGAATGATATACATCCGCTTTTCTTCACCTAATCTAATATTATTTAAACAGTTGAAGGAGAAAAAGTGCAATTAAAATAACCGCAGAGATAACCGTCGCCAATCTAATGTAACACAATTCAATAAATTTATCGCCGGATTAAATATCCTATAACAAAAATGTAATAAGGAAGCTCTAAAATATCAGAAAAGGAGCACTCAGCAAATATTCTTCTTTGAAAAAAACTTTTTGAGAGGAAGTAGCGAGCCAAGGAAAGATCCTACAGTCCGAATGGGTCCCCGGAAGCACCCAAACAAAGGCAGCTCATCTGATAGCGTCGCAGAGAAGTCCGAGGCCCAGGGGTACTACATAAGAAGATTAAGTTTTCCTATTCTGCTACACAATCAACGCGAAATTTCGGGGAAAAAAAGGAGAAACCATTGGACTTGGCACCACGAACTCGCCGTCAACGTTACGCGTTTGTCCGTCGACGAATTTTTAGAAAACGAGTCGCGACTAAACTGGCAAACACGCACAACTTTCAGACCATTAGAAAGCGTTGTCATAAAAATGGAATTAGATGCAATAAAACCGTCACATAATACAGAATTCGCTATCAAACCACGAGCTAAACTGCGGCATAAAAGTTCTAATTTGATGATCGGTGTTTTGAAAGGAGCGAAAATTTCATCTGATTGAAAATAAAAATGACCATAAAATATTAAACAATACCATATACTAACATTTAGAATATTTTATACATATTTTTTTAATATTGAAGCATCAAATAAAACTAATTGAACTCGATCAAATTCAAATTTCTGTGTACAAAATTATTTCGACTGCGGCATTTTTAGCGGGTAAATTTAAACCAGTGAGGTAAGAAGCAAATTTAACCGTAGAACCTAATTTATAAACCAATATCATTTGTCTCAAAACTACTACATATCCGGCGAGATGTTATTAGATTAATGAAATTGAAAACCTTTTAGGAAATGTATCGAACTAAGTTCTTCAAGCTCGAAAGTTTCTCTAAGTCGCACTAAGCTCAAAGAAAAGGAAGGCAGAAAAGGGCAGATATTAGAGAAGGAGAGGTCATCCGGGGAGATTAGATGTTATTGGAGAACATTTGCCGACAGTGATGAGGGCCTGATATAATGATATAATTATATCCATCCAATCAGAAAAGTATTGACGAGGAAAAATTTGTAGAGGAAAAGTGATGTATTGTACATATAAACAACGATACAAAGAATATCGACAAGTCAGATTCCATGAGGTTAGTTTCCATATTAAAAATTCTCGCGGCTCTTGCTGTCTGCTTTTGGTCCAGTTATCGTAATTGGACTCACGGCTATCAGTGGAAAAGGCGAGTTGTAAAATGAAACATTTCGTAAAAATTCTAATTAATATAAAGCGCGTACCATAATCATTGAGGAGATAATTACAGTGAGTGAGTAAATCCCTGTCTCTATAAAGTCCATATTATTGCAACTTTTATCATAAGCAATTGAAGAGAAGCCATGCAATTTGTTGAAGAGATGATGTCTTGACGCGTGAGAAGATGAAAGGTCCTGGAAGTGTGTGCTAAAATAGGACGGTTTGAGGAGGCTATCGTGAGAGCGATGCACCGCACATAACTCGCACATTTCTGTATCAAAACACTAGAAGCATTAGGACTATTAAAGTATACTTGACTTCTCTGCTCAAAGGACCAGCAAATTTAGACTAGATCTCCAACTGCAAGGCCGTTAATTGCAACAGCACTTGCAGCAAAGCGACAGCTAACGAAACAAAGTCTAGCGTAGCAACAGAAACAAGAAAGCATTTTAGGAATCTGAGGTGACATGAAATGGGGAAAAGCACGTTGGACAATAAGGGATTTGAATTCTAAAACGGATATAAAGCAATATGCAAGACATCATGAATGACCCAAAGACATTTTCGAGCACAATAAAACGCTGGAAAATTAAACCGAAAGAAATTAAAGAAAAAACTTCAAATTTACGTCAGAAACTATTGAAAATATTTATATTAATTTTTATATGAACATAATTATTAGTTAAAAGCGGAAATAAGCTGAAAACTACATCAGAAAATGAACGAGTTAAACGTAAAATGTGAGCAATTTCCATTAGAAGCAATCAACAGTTAATCCTCGCCTCCCAATTTAATCTCAGAACGACGAACACGACACGTGAGTTGCAGCCGAGAATTCAATCTCGTATTGCACAGGGAAGCTCCGGGCTTGACACACGGACTTTAATAATAAAAGAAACCTTTTCTCGGGACGATCTGACTTTATTCTCATATCCTGTGGGAGCGCAGCACCGAAATGAGAACGCACAAGTTTTCGATTGCATTTGAGTTTCGTAGAAGAGCTTTAAATGAAAATATTTCTGTTTGAGTTGCTAAACTTGTTCTCGGTGGGAGTCGGCAATTGGCCAGGACAACTCGATTAACAAAAGTTGGAAAACATACCGAGTTAGCAGCTGCTGCTGATCGAATAAATATAGTCAGCAAATGATACAGGATGCGCCCGCAGTGCCAATTTCCTATCCTTCAACCGGCAATAGAAATAATTCTATTCAGATTTTGGGGTTAAGCCTTGTCGAAATTTACGAAATTGAATTCAAAACTGCGTTTGAAAAGAAATTTGCATCATTATCGGAACATTAGCAGGCAAAAACGAAAAACTTGTAGAAAACAATTTATGTCTCGGGGAGTCGAGTGTTTCTTCGATAAAACGTGAAGGCGAGTTGCAAGTAAGAAGATTGTTCGTTCGTGCGGAGTGCCATTGAATGTCAGGTTAGTTGGAGTTGACTCGGTAAACACAAGCGACCGAGGCTCCCACAAATTGCATAAAAAAAAACAAGAGTCCAGAAACAAGCCAGCAATAGCATACTCCCAACACGCTCCATACACAACAATAATTGTTTGTCGTCCAGAGTTTTGGAGGAGAGGTATATAACAATAATTGTCTAAAGGAAGAAAAACAGGAGCAGGTTATATTTACGGTTGAGTAGAATTTTACCTATAGGATAGCGAAAAATACCACCAGACTGATTTTCAGAACAAATAGCGTGAGTAACGTTCGATACGAATATGAATTTACTAGCACGTCAGCTGAATAGCTGGCTCGTGCCGAACGTGGACAGCACCACAAATTTAAAAGTAATTATCGCAAACTAGATTCCAGGCCGCGATCATTGAATCGAGAATAATTTATCGCTCTTATGGAGCGAACGGCCTCAAACGGCCACCGCAGTAAAGCCGATGAGAAAGAGCAGCGTTAGCATCACGGAGAATCCAATATCAAAAATGTTAAGCTGAAGTATAAATCACAACTTAATCCGTTCACTCCAATATCTGTTAAGACCTGCAATATGGACATAAAAAATTTAGTTTATAAAATATTGATAGAGAAAGTAAAATGTAAAAGAAAAACAAAATCAATCGCCTTCACTAGTTCAATCCAGGTTTGTTTCAAAAAAGAATTATGCAATAAGTGAGTACCAACAAAATTTAAACAACAATTTTTACATCCAATCATAAAACGAAATGAGAAGATCACTTTACTCACCCGGCACGAAGACGCCGCTGAGCAATACTAAGGCAGTAAGCCAGGCTTGGCTTACTAAGGAATAAAAGACCTTGAACTTCTTGCCGCTGCACGGCATCATCTTCCAGTAATCCAAAGATTGAGGAGAAAATCCGACTGCCGCAGCGGCGATGGTGTCCGCCGCTGGGAGAGGGCTGAGTCGAGCCTGTGAGATCGAGCTCGGCAGTTCCAGAAACTGACAGGGCCTCTGCGACGGTAGCAGCTGTTGCGACACCGACTCCTCGCACAAGCTGCCTGCTTCTGATGAACTTTTGTGTGGCGTTTGGAGTTTACATGTGCTGGCCTGAGCGTCGAATTTGCACGACAAAAGCACTTTACTGGCGTCACAGTTTTCATGCACTTCTGAATGAGCAGATGGACGATCCTTTGAATCAAATTTAACCGCTTGAAGCAAGTTGTGGTGTGGAATTGTGCAACGAGTCTCGGGGAAACCAGACTGATTTGTAGCAGAACAGAAGTGAAGTGATGAACTAAAGCGGGAACTATGCGTCTCTGACAATGAAGATCTTCGAATTCTGGTGCGACCATTGGAAGAGGATTTTTCTAATGGACAATTAAAAAAAACTCCGGAGTCGGCGACATCATCAAGCCCAGCGTCGTAGTAACAATCGATGCTAGGATGAGTCAAGTTGTGAGTTACCTCATTAAATGCAGCCCACAGATTGCGATCAGCACCTAAATCATTAGATTCTAAACACTTATGTGGGTCATAATCATAGAATTTACTTCGCGAACAAGTGTGATAGAACGATAACAGATTTTGCTTCCTTTGGCAGCTAATCTCTTTTGAACTAACTTGCAAGCCGATATCGAAGAAGTTTAGGTCTCCAACACAAGTTTGGGATCGAGTTAGCCAACTTTTAAAATTTGTAGACGATAACTCCTTAATTAGAGGCGAGTTTGGACCGACAGGGGCAGACGATAAGAAGGAAGGTGGTGCCGCATACTGATGCTTCTTCCAGCAAAATGAGGCTTCGTCTGATGCTGGTGCGTGATCGCCGTAAACTTCGCAGGTTTCTCGCTCTTGGTCTTTACTAATGCCGGAAGAAACGCAGGTCTCGCGGAGAAGACTGCGTCGATATGCACAGTTGTTATGTTCTATTACGCGATGGCTCTTGATGTTTGATCGTTCGTTAAGACCGTCAACTGTCATAGTACGATCCACGGCGCGGTCAATAGCCATCATAAATCTAGCAGCGTGACTCCATACTTTGGTTATCAGCCTTAAACATTTGAATTCTGTTGGATGACTTGTAATTTTTTTCCCAGCAAATATAGAATACAGTTAATTTTTTAATAGAATGTTATGTTTTAAATAACACGTTCAGGTATACAATTAAAGACAAATTCGTTGTTTTAAAAACCACCAGCTTAGCTCTCCTTGTTCAGGCCAGACATGATGCAATCTTCAGTGATGCAATCTGAAAAAAGATGAATCGTTGTTAATGTCAAGTCTACGCAAGAAGACATACATGTATGTATATATCTTTATCCGTCTCCGTCCAAAATTTAAACAGTCTTGTATTCATTGTTTTGAGACAAATAAATCATCATCTAGTTACAAAAGACAAAAATTATAAATTCTATTACAGGTATGTATGGTCATTTATAAATCACTGTACAAATTCAGCATCTGACACACATGCCAAATTGAACAGAACCTTAAGGAAAACTTAATCTACTCATGTGAAAATCACAGATTAAGAGTCGATTTCTCAGCGCAAAGGTTAGTTAAACATAAGCTTTGAAATCATCCAACGATCATGAAGTGAGCGACAGTCGTAACTTTAGCTTTAAATCTATGAACGCAGAATATGAAACAATTATCGTTCGACAGCCTGTGCATCAAGTCACGAACACGATACTAAACCCTTACTGAAATCCTTATTTGAAAAATGAAAATAAAATTAAAATGCACACTCAAATTTAACTGATGAACCGCAATTATTCTGAAAAAAGTTTTGTTCGAGAGTATTTAGAATTATACATTGCCGATAAATCAGAAATGTATGTAGATATAAGTAAGTTTGAGCGCATTAAAATAAAATAACAAGCTACACTCAAAGAATCTAACTGAACTAAAGCGCGTTCAATTCAACAGAAACATTAATGAATGCCATAACTCCCTAATAATGAAATGGTAACATAATGTACGCTTAAGGAAGAACTCGAGATTTTCTACGGTGATGCCATCTTCTTTTGACCGATTGACAGGCCGTCTTCATCGCTTTGCTTCCATCACGGCGACTATGCAAGTAATTATACATTATATACAACATATTCATTATTCCCACTATCGTTATCGTTTTTGTTAATTTTGTGATTCAGACCCTGCCTTGGCCGGATATATATTTGGTTACTGAAACCATCTAAGCACTGCGGGTACGAGGGCTGAGGTCGGAAGGAAAGTCGTAGTTGGTCGCGTTTTCGAAGGCAGGCGCCTTGTCGTGAACGACGGCCGTAATCACAGCGAGAATTACGAACTGAGTAGCGGCCCTAACCTACCGTTTAGGAGAATTGGTTCTGTCAAGAAGACCCCAGACAGTTTCCTTGGGGGACGTTCAATTCTAGTTGATTACACGACACTGTGACAATGCGAACAAGCTGAACAGTCACGCTATTTCCCCCTAGCGGAGGAACCAGTGTTCCGCCAGAAGATACAACATAGAAATTGTTGTAATATTCTCCTAATCAATTTTAACGTTGTATTTTTTTCCAGTTGATCAGTTATAATTGAATTTTGTTGCATACATGATATACTTTAAAAACTAACTACAATCTACACGAAGAAAATTCTCAAAATAAATGAAAATGTTTGCAGAACTTTGTTTACCAAGTTCACTCCATTTACATGAAATCGGTTCGAAAGCTTATTCTTAGAAGAGCCACAACTCAAAATCAAGTTTAAATGAAAACTCGCCTTTACTTCAGCTAATTCAGGAAAGTCTTTAATAGGTGCATTAACTTTGCCAGTAGAAACATGACCGCTCGAAATTGAACGGCTATTGGCGAAATATGAAGCGCCTTAGAGCTCAGCGGGCTCAGTGGTTGGGGCTCAGGATCAAAATGGATGGACCGATAAAAGATGAGCGCCAGCAGCTGGGGATGGACAGGAAGAACGTGCTCCTACTGCAGATATCAGGAATTGAAGTATCATCATCTATCAGTATCATCATCTATCAGTATCATCTATCAGTATCATCATCTATCAGTATCATCGTCTATCAGTATCATCATCTATCAGTATCATCGTCTATCAGTATCAGTATTGAAGTTATATCATCTATCAGTGTTATACACAGAGACAATTTACCATTTCTGAGCATGACTATTCATGCACTGAATCGCTGGTGCACATTACATATAGGCGTCGAGTTTCGCGCTTGTCATTTTAAGCGAGTTAGTACCTATAAATATTTTATTAACAGTGTAGCACACGAGCTTGTAATGGTATGCTGAGGAATGTTCGAGGAAAGGCCAACGATTTCATCAACAATGGAGTACACGATCTTGCTGAGATAAGTCTATGAATGTGCGGAGATAAACATTTAGTTTATTAACAGTGGAGTATGATAAGATCGTGCATGTAGTGTTATGTTACGGAATAAGTGGAGAGACGCTAATGATATTATTAACAGTGGAGTACACAATTTTGTCGAGGTATGTTCATGAATGTATGTGGGGAAAAATCTAAGTTCAAAGTATTGAAAACAAAACAGCAACGCGCTTCGAGTGTAGAGAGCTCAGCAACAAGCAGCAAGCCCAGCCATTCCGATATTGGTTTTAAGGCTGCACACTCACGGCCAAGACGCACTTCAGTTGAGGTCTTCCAATCATCATCGGAAAAAACTTCAGCTACAAAATATTTATTCCTAAATATCTGAGCTCAGCAGTATAGCTCCAAGAAAGCAATACCGGATTAATTTATTTTTTGCTAGAATATTCACCGGACTGGTTCTCCTTCATACGAAGTGTCGGGCTAAGAACAGCCTGAGTCGAGAATTTTTCTAGTTTCATTTCACTCAGAGAAGAAATTTTGTTACCACCAAAACTGTAAATAATGTGAAGGAAGCTTCTGCAGTGATTATAGAAAATGTCACTCGGGAAACACATGGGATTAAAATCAAACAAAGTAAACGAGTGTCCAAAAAACTAATAAGAAACTGCTTTGGGCGCGGATAAGTGACATTAAATTGCTTATAGGAAACTCAGAACATTCAATTAGTTTTAGCAGCAATGCCACATTGTTAAACAGATTACTCCCTGCCACTATGACCATATAAATAAGTGACATTAAATTGCTTATAGAAAACTCAGAACATTCTAGAAGTTTTAACAGCAATGCCACATTGTTAAACAGATTACTCCATGTAACTGTGACCATATAAATAAGTGACATTAAATTGCTTATAGGAAACTCAGAACATTCTATTAGTTTTAGCAGCAATGCCACATTGTTAAACAGATTACTCCATGCAACTATGACCATATATAAATAAGTGACATTAAATTGCTTATAGGAAACTCAGAACATTCTATTAGTTTTAGCAGCAATGCCACATTGTAAAACAGATTACTCCATGCAACTATGACCATATATGTAAATAAAATTAAATAAAATTAAATAAAATTAAATAAAATTAGATAAAATTAAATAAAATTAAATAAAATACAAGGGTTTGCGACACACGCCGGGAGAAGATCGAGCAACGACAGCCAGCACCGTTATACGGCGTCACTCAAGCTCACCAGACAATATTTACGACGCATAATAAACTTTTATTACTTGAACTCAAAAAATTTTTAGCATCCAGTGGGAATTTTTATGCAGCCAATGTAAAACACACTAGCAAAGAATTGCACAAATCTGTCGCCTCGCATACAACATTAAAATGATGGTCTCAAATACGAAACACTAAACTGTTGAGCCAGAAATGGAATTCAATTTTCCAAACAATTACGATCCGCCATTCCACTCACAAGGTAGTAGCCCATGTATAAAAACCATGGCGCAGTTAATCGAAAAATACTCGCTGCATAAATTAATAACTCGAAAATAATCATTAGATATAAACAGAATTGATGACAATTAAGGGACGCTTTTCACCAGGTAACGACATCGGTAAAATTATTAAAATTGCTTGATCCGAAACAGTCAAGCTCATCACTGCCCACTCAAACAATAAGGGCAGAATTATAGAAACGAAAATCAAATCCATCGTTTATTTTACTGATCGTTCATGTGGTAAAAAGATAAAAAAAAAAGTCTCCAATTGAAGCTCTTTCCGGAACTGAAATTTCTGATTAGCGAGCCTAATTTGCAACATTAATATTAAACATAACAACACTCTAGCACTATTGGTTTTTTCAGTGGTGATTCAGAATTCAATGGTGATTCATAATTCAGTGGTGAATTATTTGGTGATTCAGAAGTCAACCTTCCATTTCTAATTCAGTCTCCCTTCAGAAGCATGAACAATTCGCCATGCTCAGGACAAAGTCTGTATGCTATACAGCTCAAGTTTACAGGGTAGCGAGACACGTCGATTGAAGATGTAGACAGCACGGATGAGTTGCAGAATGAAGTTACTCCGCCTGGCGACGACGAACCCTTGCATCGCAACAAGCCGACAGCATGTGTCTCAACGGCTAAGCGACGAATGACAGAATTCTCTAGCACTTCAACTGTATTGTTATATTAGAATTTAACCTCTTCAGTAACAATATATTTCATACGGTAAATTATGAGGTTGAGCGATAAAATGCAAAGCAAAAACTGACACTTAACCAGGGCTAAGCGACGAATGACAGAATTTTCTAGCACTTCAACGGTATTGTTATATTAAAATTTAACCGCTTTAGTAATAATATATTTCATACAGTCAATTGAGGTTGGGCGATAGAATGTATAGCAAAAACTGACACTTAACCAATGATTTGTCATCCGCAATCGGAACGCATCATGTTTTAGCCAAGGTACTCGTAAAACCAGCAGGTATTTCTCACATATGGTCCACGATATACATACGTAGATACCCTACACGATGGATGAATAAAGTCTAAAAGCTGGAATTCTATGGAGAAAACATGAAATAATTCCATGAAAATTTCCGTAAAAGACTCCATCACCGAATGCATTACCAGCTAACACGCTTGAATGGATCTACTCAAGCAACGTCTGGCTTTTGTAGCACATTTCTGCCGCGAGGCGTACACCGCGTCTTCTATGAGGCGACCAAAGACTAAGCGCCGTATCACATAGACCTAATTTTCCTTTTGACCTCACACTGAAGCGCTAGCTACGGAGGCGCAAGATAAAGAGTGCTTCCATATGATGCTCCGCGCGAGCATAAATAGGGACTATACCCATATGTTGTTCCAAGTGAACATAAATAGACAGTGCTTCCATATGTTGCTCCAC